AGTAATTTATACAGTAAGGTATCTGTACTCTTACTCAAGTATGGTTTTCAGGTACTCTTTACACCTCTGCTTTAATGTGATTTTTGACTGGCTATTTGAAGAAAATGATTGAGGAATCATTAAATCATAGCTACAAATGACAATCTTAATATACCTAATAAGGTAATGTCAGTTGCTCTGCACAAAATTCTAACATTGTATTGCATTGTAACATTTGGACTATGGGAGCCATGTTCACTAGGATTGGAAAATGTCTGAAAAATAATATGCAATATTTTAATGTACAACTACATAATATGGAGAACAGTATTGGGTCACCTGGCCATTACACCCACAGGAACCTTTATGACATGCCATTCTAAATCCATAGGCATCAATATGGAGTTGGTCCCCCCTTTGCAGCTATAACAGCTGCCACTCTTCTGGGAAGATTCTGGAGTGCGTCTGTAGGAATTTTTGCCCATATATCCACGAGAGCATTTGTGAGGTCAGGCACTGATGTTGGATATGAAGGCCTGGCTCGCAATCTCTGTTCTAGTTGAAATATTTGTCCAGTAGATGTCTAGCTTTGCTGCACTGAAAACAGAAGTGCAGTTGAAGTCCAGTGAAGCTGCACTTCATTGGGTTCTATTGTATTGTGCTGCCACGGGACTGTAATAAATGAGGGAAAACAGTCACGTTAGATGGCCTGCAAGAAATTGTGAACACGTTCTAGCGCACTCTTTGTAATAGCAAAGTAAATACAGCAGTAGGTATTTGATGAAATTTTTTGTATTGTTTCAGAGGAGGTGGGGCTTCGCTTGTAGTCTTAGAGCAGTAGCCACTGATTAATAATACCAGGAGCATGTTTCGCCCATTATGAGGGCATTAGTGCATAATGTGCACTGTGCATTTACAAATGGGTAAACCATTTTATCTGCACACTGCTACCTGTCCTATAGACCCTGATATAGTGGCCAGACACTGACACTAAACCTCTAAGCTAACCACAGCAGCTGGTCATTTACTTTCTCTGTAAATTACTGAATTAACAGGCATATTTTGTTACTTTGTCAATTTCTTCTTCTTTAGCTAAATTAAAGATGCTACCTATCCTATAGACCCTGATATGTAAATATATACCAGTCACTAATTATAATCTTTGCGGTTAAATGCGTATAAGTAGGATAATTGAAAGAGAACGTTACAATAGCATTATGTGTTTTGTAGAATATGCAGCAGTTCTGGGAAGAGACACACTTTCCGATGCAGTACGGTTACAGTCTCAGCAAAGCTGTATCCTCATTACTCTGCTCCTTAAGATCTGCTTCTCTGGGATAAAGACGATCTGGTAGGATGTCTGGGGAGTGGCTGCTTTCCCTGGTCATTCCCTGTGTTACGACCCTGTCTAGGGGTTAGGGTGTAACAGAGGAAGGGAATGGGGAAAGGGGAACGAGGGGAACACAGAGTGTGGTGTACAAGGGAACACACGTGGACAAAGGGGATATTTTTATAGTTTTTTTTTTATATTTTATTCACGCAAGACAGACACATAACAGCAAACCTGGTGCAAGAGCTTCAGGAGTGATAAAGGCCAAAACAATAAACAAAACCCCAACTACCGAACGAAACCCAAGTCTAACTGAACTACCAAAGAACACAGAAACAACAAAACCTATACCTAACTCCCTATCCAAATCAGTGGACACAAAGTATAACAAAACAAAACGGCAACCACTCCCTACGCACCAGATACATACACAAACACACATACAAGCCAAAGCGTAAAGTCCGAGGGGCGCGCGAAGTCGTAAACCAAAAACCGGGCGAAAGATCGAAAACCAGAAATCAAACAAAACCAGGGCAGAAGTACAGAGAAGGGCAAAGCGAGAAATCGTAATCCGAGAAACCAAAACCGTCATACACAATAATCATTCAAATAAGCAAACCAAAACACAATCCAAAATATGAGCAGAGCTCTCGAGGGTACTTTCTGTCCGGCTTTTCACTTCTGCCGGACGGAAGTGACGGCCGGCTTGCGGGGAAAGGTGGGCGGGGTCCAAACGGGGAGGCGGAGCAAGGGCCGAGCCAAGTGGTCCTGGTGGAGGGGGCGGAGCGAACAGCAGCAGGACGTAACACCTGGCAACCTTTAGGGAAGTTGCAAGGTAAGGAGAGAAACCTCCCATTCAACCACTGTCTGGAGAACAACTGCGGTTTAAAACAGGGCCGAGATCAGAATTACCTTGAAGCTTGGGAAAGAATGTTGGTGTTGGTTAGCATGTGAGCTTCCCTTGAAGGATCAAACATTAAATAACTGGATTAAAAATCTTCTCATGATTGTGCGTCTACAGTTTGGGAAACACAAATTCATAAGTTCATGTCTCTGCAGAGCGCTTACCCAGCAAAGTGGGAAAACAAGCAAACAAACACGACCTCAGAGCTGTGAGATGGACGTGATCTTTGGTGAGACCCCTGGGTTGTCGTCCTTTTCTTCTTCCTTGACCGCTGATGGTGAGGTCAGTCTGACTCCAGGTCTCTCCTGTTAGTAGATCTCCACCCCTGGGCTTTAGAAGCTGTGTTGAACTTGCTTGGTGTCCCAGACTGCAGGGTGTCTTCAACTTTAACTAAAAAAAGGTTTTCTCCATCTGCCACATGTTTGCTTTCACTGACTGCTTTGGTTGTTCCCTGGATGAGACTCATACTGATTATACACAGCAGGAAATCTAGCAGCAGTTAAACAAAATCTATGACATAATGTTAGTAACTAACAGCATCCACAAATTAGCTAATCTACTGTACCATTTCAAGCGGTACATGAAAACTTTAACTGATGTAAGTCAAATATATATGCATGCATACCCACACAACTATTCAGATATATTTTCCTGTTCTACCATAATTTTAAGATTTATTCATGTTTTTGCAGAACTGTTATGCAAACTGATCCTCATCCTCCTGACTCATTCCTTTAAATGAAGAATCTGTTATTTCTTTGATCTCTTTCATTTTCTCCTCAGATACTCACGTGTGCTGGCTGCTGGTGCCAGAGCCGGACTGGAGACAGTCAAGGCAGGAGGAACTCTGTGCTCCGCTTGAGCCGTATCTATATGTCATGCCCACCTTGCGAGATCAGCTGAGCGCTCTAACTCGGTGTTGTCTCCCCAGTTATGATCCGTCTTCCTTGCCCTGCCCGAACCTCCCACGCCTCCTGCCTGCCCTCCTGCCCTTCCGCCCCCCTCCCCCTGTGAAACACCTCATGGATCTCCCTGTGTTCATCCTCTACGTCTCCGGACTGACCCCCTGGCTTTTCGACCTTCGTCTTCCCTTCCCTCGACAACGGCTTTGGATTACATTCAGGCTTCTGGTGTACGGATTGTATGGTTTCTGGCTACGACTTGGACACGGCTCATGACGTCCCCTTGCTCGACCCCAAATAAACCTAGTTGCCTTGATTCGCCTCTGCTTGCTTTATTAGTCAGGACGCTATAAATCCCTCGATCTGTTTAATCTCCAGTAAAGTACTAATTCACTCCTCCTGTGCATGAATCTTGTCCTCCAAAAATTGCCAAGCCAAGATGTGGCATGCTGGTAGACTCCTACCCAAAAACAATGAATGCTGTAATTAAATCAAGGGGTGCTCTAACAAAATGTTAGTTGCTGGGTGTGCACACTTATGCCACCAGCTTATTGTACATTTTTTATTTTTAGTATTTTTCCCCCTAACAGATTTGTTTGTTTTTCAATTGAATTGTACAGGTTATGGGTCAAGCTTTGAAATGATTTATCGTGGTCTCATTTTTTAATACCACAAAACCCTGGCATTTTAACATGGGTATGTACACTTCTTATATCCACTATACATTCATTTTTATATGTAGACTGTGTTCATGTTCGTTTTTGGGTAAGGAATGGTTTAAACAGTCATTAATCACAATCTGCAGTCTCAGCACATTCATTTTATGCTGGGTGACACCAGTTCAAACTTGCCTCACAAGCCCAATAATTTACCAAGATTCAATCATAGACTGTGATATGAATCAAAGGCATGTGTCAGAATTTTTAATGAAGGTTTAAGTTGACTCAAGAAAATCTCCAGATATTTCATAAGAATGCAAAAACAAATAAACACAGACTTCTGAGGTTCAAAATGATGGGCGTTGGCATGTTTACTAGTGTATGGCCATTTTTACTTGCACAGTGTTTAAGTTCACTTTTGAGTTATTTCTTTTTTTTCTAACATTAATAAAGTGAAATCACAAGCTTCAGTTGCCATAAAGTGGCCTGGACCGTTTGATATTAACACCTTAGTCTTGATGTAAATGTTATAGTGAAAATGTTAGATGGTATCCCTATTATAAATTTCATGAAAAAAACTTGGATCATGAACAATTATTTCCAAAATGTAATTCATACAAAGTCATGGGTATAAATGTGGCAAATTATGTTTTATCAGAACATTTTGATGCAGATTTATTTCATGGTTTTATTGCCAATATTCACTTATCTAAATACATAAAGCAAAATTGATTACTGGACAGTTGCATCCATTTATCTGCTTTTATTACACCAGTGATTTTAATGGTATAAAATTCCATCTGCAGGGTTGATGAAGTTTTAAACATAAGATTCATACTTAAACTATATTTCCGTTTACTCATACAAACAATCTTTTGCAACGCTCATAAAATCAACATGCTAATATTTTACCAAAATCATCTCATATATTATCTTATAAGCTTTCATGTTCATATTTTACTTTTATTTTATATATACAGTACATATAGACACACACACACACACACACACACACACATACATATTAATTCTAGTACATGAAATTCTTAAATCCTTTTATTCAAATGCTGAATTGGAAATTAAAATATTACTCATTTGTATTGTGAAAAAGCATATAGCTATATTCTAACACACACATTACACACACATTAGCATTGTGGACAGTGGTGGCTTAATGGTTAGGGATGCATACTTGTAATAAAAAAATTACAGGTTTGAACCCCACCCAGCAAGGCACCACTGAGGTACCCTGAGCAAGGTCCCGCCCCCCAGCACTGCTCCCCGGGCGCTGAATTAGCTGCCCCCTGCTATGTCATAATGTCACATATGGGTTAAATGCAGAGGACACATCTTGTTGTGGTGTGTCATCAATGACAAATAATCACTAAAATTCAAAAATAACAAATATGTGCCAGGCAAGTCTGAACCGATGTAACTCATAATCAAAAGAATGACCTGATACGGCATAATGCCATTTTGGCAGAAAAAAAGGCAAACAGGTTATCAACAAACTATAAAAACAAGGTTTCCAGGAAAGTGGTATCTGAGAAGGCAAGTCTGAACTGCATATTGTTTTCTGTGTTGAACATCCAAAAGTAAGTTTATGTGTCAAGAAATGTATGAATTTGTTTCATCATGTGTTTTGAACTGAAAATCAAACAGCACACAATGAATACTGCACTATGCAAACAATATTCATGTGTATATTGAAAGTTTAAACACAGCTCATATTTAAGATCAGCTTATGGATACCACACTGACCAAAAATCTGAGCTGTAAACCTGCAGAACATTTTTGCCAATAGTGACACCATTTCAGACCTGCTTTGCCAAATTGAGCCAAAATCCACTTACAGGCTGTTTCAAAGAGAAGGTACCACCCCCCAGCACTGCTCCCCGGGCGCTGAATTAGATGCCCCCTGCTATGTCACATTGTCACATATGGGTTAAATGCAGAGGACACATTTTGTTGTTGTGTGCTGTGGTGTGTCAACAATGACAATTAATTGCTAAATTCAAATGAGCTTATCTAAAATGTCTTTGAATGCTGCAGCATTAAAAGTTCCTTTCACTGGAACTAAGGGGCCACGCTCAACCCCTGAAAAACAGCCCCACACCATAATCCCCCCTCCACCAAACTTTACACTTGGCACAATGCAGTCAGGCAAGTACCGTTCTTCTGGCAACCGCCAAACCCAGACTCGTCCATCGGATTGCCAGACAGAGAAGTGTGATTAATCACTGCAGAGAACATGTCTCCACTGCTCCAGAGTCCAGTGTCAGCGTGCTTTACACCACTGCATCTGACGCTTTGCGTTGCACTTGGTGATGTAAGGCTTGGCCATGAAGTTCTCTACGCACTATTCTTGAGCTAATCTGAAGGCCACACGAAGTTTGGAGGTCTGTAGCTATTGACTCTGCAGACAGTTTTGACTTCTGCACACTGTGAGCCTCAGCATGCGTTGTCCCTGTTCTGTGAATTTACATGTCCTACCACTTTGTGGCTGAGTTGCTATCATCCCCAATTGCTTCCACTTTGTTATAATACCACAGTTTACCGTGGAATATTTAGTTGCAAGGACATCTCACGAATGGACTTCTTGCACAGGTGGCATCCTATCATGGTACCACGTTTGAATTCACTGAGCTCCTGAGAGTGACCCATCCTTTCGCAAATGTTTGTAGAAGCAGTCTGCATGCCTAGGTGCTTGATTTTATACACCTGAGGCTATGTGATTGGAACACAAGTTCATTTTGGGCCATGTTTTTTTTCCTTTTAACTTTATCAGTTCAGATCTGCCTCCTCAGAAGGACAATAAATTCAAAGATTACAGCTGCAGGCTGTTCTAAAGTTGTTTTGAAAACAATGGGAAATATCTGTCCTGGGTCGCATTTCGTCACATGTCTGGGTATGTCGGTACCTGGGTCCCTACCGGTGTTAATTTTGACAGCAAATTTTTTATTTAGTTTTAGTCATAGTCTTTTGACTAAAATGTTATTTAGTTTCAGTCATAATTTTGTCATATAAATTGTTTTAGTTTTAGTCTAGTTATAGTTGACTAAGTATCATAAGATTACAGTCGACTAAAACTACAGTTGATTTAGTCGACTAAAATTAAAAGTGCAAAGTGTTATGTTTAAAGTTTCCCTTCGATTTCTGAAAGTTATTATGTTCACCAAGTTTAGTTTGAAGATAAAGGTCGTTGACGATAACTATGACGAAAATTTACTTGTTCAGTCTTTAATTTAATGAACAGGCGACCACAAAAAAAGAACTTTAATGGACCTGTATGGCCGGAACCCACAAGAAAACCCAACAAAACTGAAGCGCCTCAAACTGACAGGTACTGCTTTTTGACCTAATTCCTCCCCAGGATATATGGGGCCGTGCAGAGCCCACCGATTCTCCTTTTGCCCACTCCACAGGTAACCCCATTCCCGCTGTCTCCGAACCCCCAGAGACTGGCTGAAAAGGCGAGGAGGACTGCCCTATAATAACCCCCTGGACACCCCTAGTCCTCCAGCCCCCACACTGCTATATGTCCCATCACTGCCTCTCTGTTTTGCCCCTTTGGATCCCTTGTGATTCTGTTGGTTTGCTATTTTACCCTCTTTAGTTTATAAAGTTCCTTTTGTTTGCTCTTCCTGTCCACTCCTGCGTCCTTCGTCTCGCTCCACACCATAACTGCTTATGTCTGAAAAGCATGGAAAATGACTATTATTTCCCAAAGACTTTGCTTTTGTTAACAGGACAGTGATTTGAATTTTACTTCTTTCTGATGTGAAAATGTACACATTTGCAGCTACTCGTTCACATAAAGTCAGAAAATCTGGCAGATTTGGAGCAGTTTTACAAGGAAGAGTGAGCAAATATTGCCAAGTCAAGATGTGGCATGCTACCCACAAAGAGTGAATGCTGTAAATTAAATCAAAACGTGCTCCAACAAAGTATTAGTTTATGATCTACTGTATGTTCATATTTTTTATATGTAAACTGTGTTTATGTTCAGCAAGTCAGGTTACAGGTACAAGCTTTCAGGTACAGTAGAATATTATTGTTGTATAATAATGTGCATGTTTCATCAATAGGCAATGTTCAAAGTTAATCTTCTAGGTGGATATTTAATGGAAAAAAAACAAACTTTCTTTTTAAGTGTCAGCACATTTCTGTCATAAATAACAAAGGCAGTTCTTCTCAGGAAGGCAACAAATTCATCATCACACCTACAGGCTGTTTCCAACGGCATTGGGTTGGTGGCTTGTTTTGCTCCTATTGCATTGGTGTGTGGCACAGTGTGTGAAGATTCTGTATCTTAATTAGACGGTCAGCATTCCAAATGTTTGAGGAAGCAGAGTAAATTCCCTGTTGGGTCCTTGGGCAAGGCTGTTAATCCCCAGTTGCTCCAGGGATTGGCTGAACCTTCTTTGGCAGTTGTACATCACTTTGGATGAAAGTGTCTGTTAAAATGTAACTATGTTCCAAGCGTTTCTTTACTTCTACTACTACTACTACTACTACTACTAATAATAATAATAATAATAATAATGGAAAACTTTACTTGACAGGTCACAAATAATACAGTACTCTCCTTTTACTTACGTATTAATTAATCACAAAGTCTTAGTTACATACTGATCTCATGATAATTCATCATTAATGAATCGTGATGCATCTTTTATCTCAAGTAGTGACTATACTTGTTCATGATTTGTTTGATTATTTGTACTTCAGTAGTAAATGAGCTATTATTATGTATTTGTGCCCTATCAAGTAAAGTGGAAGCATAATAATTATAACTAGTAAATGCAAGCAGTGACTGACGGGTCCAAAGCGTCGTAATATCATCCAGGGTGTAGAAACAGTACAGGAGTAATGTTGGAAAATAGAGCAGTAACTGGAATTGGTGGCCAATGTATCAAAAAAGTGAGACGGTAGTAAATTCTCATAGAAGAGGATGGAGATATTTGAGTCTAACCCTAAGGAGGTAAAGGACAGAATGTAGAAACCTGTGCTGTAACACCTCCCCTGCATTGAATGTCTGGTTTGGGTCAGATGGTCTGAGTATTATGTAGAAATAGACACCTCCCTACTTAATATGGTCAGTCTAGATGTTACAGGGGTTAAATTTCCTTTATGCTGGCTGTGTGAACTTGGACTGTGTTGCATTTTCAGAGCAACATTGCTCTGTTGGGCGACTACTCCAGATAACAGCACAACAACCATACCTTGTTGTTTTTGTAGACTGTTCATATAGACATGATTTTAACCGCGTATATGGAATAGCATGTGAACTTTCAATATACACATGAATATTGTTTGCATAGTGCAGTATTCATTGTGTGCTGTTTGATTTTCAGTTCGAAACGCATGATGAAACAAATTCATACATTTCTTGACACATAAACTTGCTAGTAGATGTTCAACACAGAAAACAGTATGCTGATCATGGCTAAAAAGAGGCCTCCCTGGTTGACAATTGTTACTGTTGCCCCCCAGGCCTACTCAAACAGCCCAGGAGCCCCTTACCAGGCTCATGTGCCTCTGTCTGCAGTTCAGACTTGCCTTCTCAGATACCACTTTCCTGGAAACCTTTTTTTATAGTTTGTTGACAACCTGTTTGGCTTTTTTTCTGCCAAAATGGCATTATGCCGTATCAGGTCATTCTTTTGATTATGAGTTACATCGGTTCAGACTTGCCTGGCACATATTTGTTATTTTTTAATTTTAGTGATTAATTGTCATTGTTGACACACCACAGCACACAACAACAAGATGTGTCCTCTGCATTTAACCCATATGTGACATAGCAGGGGGCAGCTAATTCAGCACCCAGGGAGCAGTGCTGGGGGGCAGAACCTTGCTCAGGGTACTTCAGTGGTGCCTTGCTGGGTGGGGATTCAAACCTGCAATCTTTTGATTACAAGTGTGCGTCCCTAAACATTAAGCCACCACTGTCCACAACGTTAAGGTTAATGTGTGTGTTAGAATATAGTTATATGCTTTTTGACAATACAAATGACTAATAAAGATTTTCATTTCCAATTCAGCATTTGAATCAAAGGATTTATTTCTCCTTTCCCCATAAACAGTGTTGGCTTTCTGGCAGTACCGCCTTGGAGTTTAGGGCAGTTGAGACCCTTTGGCTAACAAATGGCTGATTTCCTGTTGCTTTACCATCCTCATTACTCTGCTACTTTTTCCTGCTCCCTCAGACCTGCTGCTATGTTTGACCCACAGCTGCGTGTCTCTGCAGAGCTCGAACCTGACAAAGTGGGCAAACATGCAAACAAACACGACCCAGAGCTGTGAGATGGACGTGATCTTTGGTGAGACCCCTGGTTTGTCGTCTTCTTCATCTTTCTTGACCTTTGATGGTGAGGTCAGTCTGACTCCAGGTCTCTCCTGTAAGTGAATCTCCACACCTGGACTTCAGAATCTGTGTTGATCTTGCTTGGTGTCACAGACTCAGCGTGTCTTCAATCCTGCCAATTTAACTAGAAAAAGATTTTCTCCACATGTTATTGTAAAATCTGTTTCCTTTTACGAACTATGTTGACAGTTTAAATCCCTAGAGATTTACTTGTAATACTTTGCAGAGCGATAAACTTAGAAGCAGCAAAACAGAATGTTACCTACATAACGCAAAAGCTATCGATTAAGAGTTTCCAATGAAGCAAAACAAGAGGCAACGTACATTTTCAAGTGCTAATATTATGTGTTGGTGTGTGTGCATCTGTGTGTGTATGTTATTCAAATGTATGTGTTCTATAGCTATTTTTGAGTTATTCATGCTTTAAAAGAATCTTCATGCAAAATGATCCTCATCCTCCTGACTCATTTCTTTAAATGCAGATTCTGTTATTTCTTTGATCTCTTTCATTTTCTCCTCAGACACTGGGGGTAACATTGGCTTTAGCTCCCTTTCGATATTCTCCATTCTCTCTTTTGTCATCTCATCAAATTTCTTGTTGTTCTTCTTCACAAGATCTCTTATTGCTTCTTGAGCTTCTTTGCAGGCATCTTGTAATTCCCTGTGTTCAGTGTTAAAATATGATTTGCTGGGATCCAGAACCATGAGTACGCCCAGACTGCTGACCATGTCCATCAGGTGTTTGTCAGACACCTCAACGTAGGTCCCTGAGATCATGTTAACCATGCTGGCTACATTCAATGAGTACATGGCCTGCTGGTAGATCATGACTTTCTGGTTATATGACAGATGTTTCTGAGATGCCTTCTGAGACTGTTTGACAAAATCAGTCAGAGATCTACTAAGGCAGGTCTTAATGATGTTTGAGATCATCTGAAAGAAGCGTACCATCTTCTCCCACTGCTCTTTCACTCTTCCCATGGCATCTAGACCCTTAACCAGCACCTTTATGATGGTGTTGAAGTCAATCTCTTTTACTTCAGTTTTAGATTCAGCTTTTTCCAAATCACCACCATATACCTTCATTGCATCTAAACATGCTAACAAAAGATCTTCAATCAGATTAATAACAAAATGAAACTTTTTCTCTGATTGATCAGCCAATTCTGCACATTTGTGCAGTATAGTAGCTATAATCTCCTGATGGTCAGGGAGGAGGGTTTGGACCAGCTCATCATTGTCCTGTAGTAATACTTTCATTGATACCTTGATGAAAGCTGTCTTATTGCCAATGAGGAGACGGATCTGCTCCATGTTTTTGTGAGCTTCACTGAATGCTGCCGACATGGAATTAGCCACTTGCATAAGACAGGCTCGGAATGAGTCTGGGTACTTGATGAACTTAAAGCCACCAGTAGGAGGCTTTTGGCCAATGGAGAAATCTACATTGGAAGAAAAAAATACCAGCTCTCCCAAAATGGCTATAGAGACTGGGGCAGGTACCAAGTACTCCTCCCAGTTAGCATATGGCTGCATTATCAGTTTGGTGTCATCTCTGTAATCCTGAGCCTCGGAAATAGATTTGGTGGCTTTCACTAAGTCTGCCATTGTCGTCTTTCCTGTAAGGACACAGACATGTTTGTGTGACACACATCAGATTTGAGCAAAGATGTTTATTTGATGTAGTTATGTTTCATTCCTTAATTGAAAGACTATATGTGGTTGTCGTTTTTTAATTAATTACTGCATACTGGACTTTTTACCCATAAACACATTATATATATTTACAAGTATAAATAGGACATATTCACCCTCTCATAAGACAGATACTAATTAAAGGTGAAGTGACTTTATTACTGAACCACATAAAGCTGGACAGATTAAAGATAAATACCTGTGTATCAGCATGATCACGCACAAATATAAAATACGATGCTTTTCAAAGTAACATCAAGAATTTGGAAGAGAATTCAAAATTTACAACTTAATATTATACACCTATAAACAGTGCCTAATTTCTGTATATGCAGTATGGATATAAATGATCTATCGCATACTGTACAAACCTACTGTCAATGTTGTTTTTATCATTTGTTTTCCAGGTAAATACTAAACATTAACTACCAGAAAGCAGCCTTTTTAAATTTCACTTCAATGCTTATTTTGTTCAGATACGTATCTCTTTCATCTTTAACTCCACTTTTTCACAACTGTAGTACAACTACTTGAGGCTCCTTAGAGCAACAAACCTACCCCAGAAACATCTGGTCGGTTTCTACAGGTCTGCTACACAAAGTACATCACAGCTTGATACGTTTATACATCAGAAATGCAGAAAGATATAGTAAACAGTTAAATACCTGACAGGAAGTAGATTATATACTTGCAGGTACTTGCTTCTTGCCTGATTTTCTGATCGTTAAGTAGCTGCTGTTGTGATCAGCTTTTATTCTCTGCCTTCACCACCCTGCCCCCGATCTCCCCGCACATGTGCGCTCACACCCACCACATCAGTGCAGCTTGCTGCTAAACACACCCACTGTGCCTCACTTAGAAGTCCTGTCATTGTCCCCAAAGGGGACATCCAGGTACTTAAAGGCTGACTTCCATATTAATGTTCATGTTTTATATCAAGCCACATTGTCCATGTATTTAGGGAAGCATTTTTATCTGAAAATATGACAGCCTGTCCGAATATATCCTACCCTTTTGTCTTTGCGCTTTGTCTCGTTTTGCACTATACTGTATGTTTGTTTGTTTGGACTTTACTTAGCTTGCTGCTGAATGCACCAGAATTCCCCCCCATGATCAATAAAGTTCATATTTGAAGGGCAGCAGAAAGATAGATGGATGGTGGATAAGGAGGTGGGATAAGGGGCAGGTGGGAATGAGTTACAGCCCATTTAAACAGGAATTACAGCACATTCTTATCACAGTACCTAGATCAGTTCAGACTTGCCTCCTCAAAAACCGTTACAGGACAAAGGCTGATTCTAAAGGCATTTCCCCCAAATTGCCTGCTTCTTCTTCATAAACCCCCCCTAAACTGATCATCCCATTCTTAATAGCTGCTGCTTTGTTCAGATTTGTCTGGCTTTGCTCAACATAGGCAGCTCCCATGAAGCAATAAATCTTAATAAAAAAATCAATCACATTTTATTCCACGTTTGAAATGTTTTTTTTTCTTTTTCTTGCATCATACATTCATAGGGCAAATAACCAATATACTTTGTTTCATTGTTCTTTCAAAGTTGTTTAATTTTTGAATCACATTCTACCTCACATATCTGGAATGACCCTTTGGGACTTTTCTCTGGGTCCTGAGTGCTGCTTTGCTTCAGCCTGCCCAAGAATGTTGGTGAGCAGCCCAGAGATCCTGACTGCTGAAGGTTAGCATGCTCTCCCTCAGGCAGGAGCGATGGACTGTGTTCGATTTGCACAAAGCTTAACGCTTCACTCTCATTTCAAACGGCATACTGATTTCATATTTGTGAAGACTTCAATGTTGCAAGAGCATCAGAGATCATTAGCAAATGCAAAGGAACACTTAGAAAAAACAAAGGAAATTTTGATGAGTTGCAAAGAAGAATGAAGCTGTGAGGGACATTGGAATCGGTCTGATGTTAACCTCCATGTTAGTTACAGCACAAATATTTCACCAAATCACTGCAGATGTTGTATAGCATTAGTTTATTACTATTGATTTGTAAGCAAATAGTGAAAGAATTTTGTAGTTATTTTTTTCCCAAATTCTGTGAGATTGCTTTATGGTGACATGAGCAGGACGGTTTCGACTGGACAGAGTAAAATTGTAAAAATGTTTAATGAGCACTCAGTTTCTAATCTGGTAAGTCTCCTGTCTCTAACATCTATATTTATTTTACAGACTCTTTTGTCCAAAGCGTCATACAGATGGCTACTTCGTACAAATAGAACTTTGAATATAATACAGATTTACAGACTACATATCGAACATCTGTAAATCTGTATTATATTCTATTTATATTCTATAAATCTGTTAAATTCTATTAAAAAAATGTGTCTCTTTTTTCATACCCTTGTAACTGTATTCTTACTTGTTCCTTCTAGTTGCACAGTCAAAAGAGCGGTTCAGGATACATTTCACTGCATGTTGTACCTGTATCACTATGCATGTGACAATTAAAAGAATCTTGAATGACAGATCATGCATTGCAGGCATACAGCTGTCAATGTCGCCACCTGCTGTTCTAACTAATAACTGCGCCTCATATTTGTGATTTTTTTTTCTACAGATCAGCTGCATGAATTGAACAAATATCCCCAAATGAATAGGAGCGGAGTCACAAATGTCACGTGATCCACAAATAGACGGGAAGTGATTCAGAAATGTGCAAATCCAGTTTCAGGTGTACAAATCGCTCCATATTTTTGTGGACTTGATTATATACAGCATATATAAAAATACATATTTATGGATAGTGCTGTATTTGTGATTTTCTTTCTACTGATCAGGGGGTATTCCACAGAGCAGAATTTCCCAGTTAGCCAGAAAACTTTAGCCAAAGGTAAAAACCATCCAATAGGAGGAGAGAGAAGTCACATTCCTATTGGATATTCCTTACATTTGGCTTAAGTTATCGAGCTAATGGAAAACAAAAACCTGCTTTGTGGAATTCCCACCAGCTGCGGTACAAATTGCACAAAAATCCACAAATAATTAGGAGGGAATGTGACAAATGATACGTGATCCACAAATGTGCAAAACACGTTTCACGCGTACACATTGTTCTGTATTTTTGTGGATGTCACGTTTCAGCGGGGGAAGGACCATCCAAAGGCAGGCTGTCTGCAAGCGAAACCCCAGCAGGGGTGTTTATTGTGGGGAAACAGGCAGGGAAGCAACACAGGCAGAAAGCAATGCCCAGACTGGGAGTACAGGACTAGAAGACACTTTTATACATGACTAACAGAGGAGTGAACACAAGGCAGCTGTGGCTGGTTAACAAGAGGGCTAGAACAAGAGGTAAGTTTTTCCAGAGTTATTCAAAGTATCCAAATTAGGATAAATCAGTTTGGAAAAGACTCCGTATTTGAAAGCATTCCTATTTATTTTCCTCCCTTAGGTTATTATTGATTACCCCTTCCGTGCTATTTAACTGCTGTCTGAGTTAAACGTTGAACTCATGCCCCCTAGTGGCCACATGATGCATCAGCCCTACTCTTAATACACCGTACATGTTATTTCAATACTGATCTCCATCATTATTCAGAAATGCGCCCCAGGTTAGCTAATCCCTTTCAGTCAGCTTCATCTTGCATCCACAGCTACTCCTGTTGGACGTGGTCAATCCTTCATGGCGGTATTCCGACGTTACCATGGATACCATGGCTCTTGATACACCACAAAGACTTTACTGTCCTGGTTACAGATGCGCCAGTGAGACGCGCACCAAGAATTTGTCCTATTTTGAAGTCTGATATGTCTCCCATTACGTTGTGTGTGTTACAATGTTTTATGTGCTATTGCTCCGCTAATTCAACTTACACTCTATGTAAGAACTGTCACAAATACATGATTAAACTTGATTATTGATTATTGAAAACCATTGATATACATTTTCCTTGTTGATTACTTGGCACATAGCAGGTCCAAATAAAGAGCTAAACATCAGATATGATGAATCATTTAACATTAAATAACAGTAAAGAAAAATGCAGTTTTATGTCATCTCGAGGATAGATGGTCCCAGAACAGGTGACAGAGCAGTTAGAACATAAGAACATAATAAATTTACAAACGAGAGGAGGCCATTCAGCCCATCAAGCTCATTTGTTCTCTTTAGGAGTCAGTGATCAGAGCATCTGCTGCATGAGTAAGGGGCTCACACTCATGGGTGGTTCCGGGGTCATCAGGCTCTGGTTCCTCACCAGAATGCGCTTGTCCTGGAAGGTGAGCAGGGACCTGTACCTACTGCAGGATGTAGGGTCAGCCTATTGATAGGACAGGCCGCCTGTCAAGGAATTACATCCTGTCATACAGAGCATCCAGTTCAGGACTACCTTTCCTTTGATGAAGGAGAAACAACAATTGTGCCCCAAATGCTGAGGGACTTGGCTTCTCTTTGAACCAGTGACACTCAGACATGAATCCTGACATGGAGAACTGCCTCATGTTACGCATATCTGCCTCTGATAGGGGATAAATTAGACAACAAAATCTTCAAAAAAAAACTCATTGTGGGGCATTTGCTCGCTCCTCTGGGGCTGGGATGGGGCTGCAGCTCATAGTTGGTTTGTGAGTGAAGGAATAGAGAAGATGCTACCAAGTGCTTTATTGTAGTTACAAGCCAACAACAATTTGCACGATTAAGTAACACAGTGCAGTATAGGCTGCACAGTTACCTAGGTGAGCTATTGTTTGCTTCTTTATGAAGTCACTTGCCTCGTATTGAATTAAAATTTCTAAAAGTAAGTTTAAGGACTGTAATAAGTTACTGGAAGTGAAACACTTGGGGTTTGATCGGTTCCAATGCAAGCTGGTGTTTGTACCAGTCAGATATAACCAAAGCCAAGTGATTTTCCTGACATGAGGCAACAGTAATGTACTGTAGGCGCTCTGGCTAACTCACATTAAATCGGTCACTTAAAAAAAAAAAAAAAATTACAGATTTTGGGAGGTTTAAATATAAATCACCATATTCTTACTTCCACTAGGCTTAACTGAAGTGGCAATATGGGTGATTCAGCCAGTTCTGAAGGTTAGGAATTCTTCACCATATAACAAATAAGGACAAATCTCCAAGTTAATTACTTCTGCCCAGATGTTAACTGTCTTACTAGGTGGCTAAGCGTGCATGGGTAGAAGAAAGATGATTCCAGTGTATTTAAGCCCCTGCCTTTGTTAGTCCTCAGTATCAGTGTATTTAAGCCCCTGCCTTTGTTAGTCCTCAGTATCAGTGTATTTAAGCCCCTGCCTTTGTTAGTCCTCAGTATCAGTGTATTTAAGCCCCTGCCTTAGGTGCCTTAGATAGGTGAAATTAGCCTGCCTTGTTATTTAGACACATCGACGGGCACAATGCCTTTGATTTACACCTTCTCACATTTGTGTTTACACTTTTAATAATAATCTCAGAACAAAGTCTGTTTTCCCTGCTATACCGAAATTGCCCAAATAAGATGCCACTTTGCATATTAATATTAAAGTAACCAGCACTGTAGCTACCTTCAAAATGAATCAGAACACAGGAAAGGAGCGTGTGACTGGTTCCCAGTGCTTTATTATCAGAGACAGTAATGGATGCCCTGTGGTGGCTCAAGCTTCCTGATCCGGCTGCCTAGATCTACATCGTTAAAATACATTTCCCCTGTTACAGGCTGGTTGATGTATAAGTGCTCATTAATAAAATGTTATGGTGGTAACTACTAACGATTGTATTTTAGCAAATAAAAGTACATGTATATATGATTTTGCTCAAAGCATGCAAAGACATGATTACTTTATAGCAAATATGTATCCAGCAAAAATCTTGGATGAGACCCCTGGGTCGTCGTCGTCTTCTTCCTTGACCTTTGACAGTGAGGTCAGTCTGACTCCAGGTCTCTCCTGTAAGCGGATCTCGATAAGCTGTGATGAACTTGATTGGTGTCACAGACCTGCCACTTTAACTGGAAAGAGGTTTTCTCCATATGTTAAAATCTTGTAACACATACGTTTAGTTTGGCAGACTGTTTTGTTTTATCTGTTTTTGTCTTTAATATTTTTCTGACAAAACATGGCTGTGCAATAGCAAAATTGCAAACAATCCTACAATCAAAAGCTATTACGTCACAGCAAAAATTAAGAATGCTTCTTTTATATCTAAGAAAAATCCCAACTGATTCTTTCAAACCCAGTCCCTCCGCCCCATTCACTGGATAACTCAGGTGCAAGCCTGATACAACTGAAAGTCCCTGAAAAGTCACAAAGTCCCTAACCCTGACACATTAAAAACTCTTTTGATTGTTAACTGATGTGACAGATTTTAAATTACCTTTGTGTATGGTTATATTAAAATTACGGTTGCTTAAAACTTTACGTTCTTAGATAATTACATTCTTTCAATCTCAGAAACCTAGTACAGTGGTACCTCAGAACCCGAACTTAATCCGTTCAGAACTCTGGTTCGAATCCTAAAACGTTCAAGTTCTGATCAAATTTTCCCCATAAGAAATAATGGAAAACCAATTAATTGGTTTCCGGCTCCAAAAAATTATACCTAAATGTTTTTTTTTTTTAGCATTTAAACACAAAATAAATGGGATAAAACAAGAAGAGCATTTTTTTTAATGGCTTCCAAAACGATAAAGAATGTACCCCAATACTACCCCTGTCCCGCCCCGATCATTCCCCGTTTCAGCCATTCCACCCTCTTCACTCTCAGACTGTCTAATGGAGATTAAATCATGGTTCTCCTCTAACTTTCTCAAACTCAATAGCAATAAAACTGAAGTTCTACTCGTTGGTACAACTTCCACTCTAACTAAATCCCACAATTTCTCCATCAATATTGATAATTCCGCTATCCACCCCATCACCCAGGTTAAGAGTCTGGGCGTCATCCTAGATAGTACTCTTTCATGTCAGTCACACATTAGTCATATCACCCGGTCTGCATACTTCCATCTGCGCAACATAAACCGACGCCATCCCTTCCTCACTCCCCATGCTGCTGCCATCCTTGTTCATAGCCTCGTCACATCTAGGATTGATTATTGTAACTCTCTTCTCTTTGGTCTCCCTAACAAGTCCCTCCGTAAGCTCCAACTCCTTCAGAACACTGCAGGTCGGGTAGTACTGTAACTCGTACCCCGTCCAGGGAACATATCCCTGCCCTACATGTCTTGTCCCCTATGACCAGCAGGTGTCGCTGGTTACCCTTTTCCCCCTCTGATGTGTAGCTCTACTCCCTCGTGTGTTTTCTTTGCTCCCTGCCCTGCCTCAGAAGGTTGTGCATGTGGTTCTTGCGTTGTCTGGTCCGTTATTCGTCTCCTTAGGTCCTTGGTCCTGAAAGTTTGCGCATCTGGTGTCCGACTCTCTCCAGCGTCATTGGTCCTGCACCATTTTGTAGCCCCATGTGTCGGTCCTCTCATCCATTCCCTTTGGTTCCCTTCCCGCCCTGCTTGTCTGTCCCCAGCATTTTCCATGGGCATGGCTGCTAATCAGCCGTGCCTGAAGCTTGTTAGTCTTACCTCTTGTTCCAGCCACAGCTGCCTTGTGTTCACTCCTCTGTCAGTCATGTATAAAACTGACTCCTAGTCCTGTGCTCCCTGTCTGGTCATTGCTTTCTGACTGTTTCCCCACAATAAACACCCCTGCAGGGGGGTTCGCTTGCAGACAGCCTGCCTTTGGATGGTCCTTTCCCCGCCGAAACGTGACATCCACAAAAATACAGAGCAACATCTACGCGTGAAACGTGTTTTGCACATTTGTGGATCACGTATCATTTGTCACATTCCCTCCTATTTTTTTGTGGATTTTTGTCCAATTTGTACCGCAGCTGGTGGGAATTACACAAAGCAGGTTTTTGTTTTCCATTAGCTCGATAACTTAAGCCAAATGTAAGGAATATCCAATAGGAATGTGACTTCTCTCTCCTCCTATTGGATGGTTTTTACCTTTGGCTTAAGTTATCTGGCTAACTGGGACATTCTGCTCTGTGGAATACCCCCTGATCAGTAGAAAGAAAATCACAAATACAGCACTATCCATAAATATATATTTTAATGTTTGCTGTATATAATCAAGTCCACAAAAATATGGAGCGATTTGTACACCTGAAACAGGTTTTGCACATTTGTGGATCACTCCCCGTCTATTTGTGGATCACGTCACATTTGTGACTCCGCTCCTATTCATTTGGGGATATTTGTCCGATTCATGCAGTTGATCTGTAGAAAAAAAATCACAAATATGAGGCGCAGTTATTAGTTAGAACAGCAGGTGGCGACATTGACAGCTGTATGCCTGCAATGCATGATCTGTCATTCAAGATTCTTTTAATTGTCACATGCATAGTGATACAGGTACAACATGCAGTGAAATGTATCCTGAACCGCTCTTTTGACTGTGCAACTAGAAGGAACAAGTAAGAATACAGTTACAAGGGTATGAAAAAGATAAAATTTTTAAAATGGAACATTGAATATAATACAGATTTATATATGTGTGATATGCAGTCTGTAAATCTGTATTATATTCAAAGTTCTATTTGTATGAAATGTCCATTTGTATGACGCTTTGGACAAAAGAGTCTGTAAAATAAATATAGATGTTAGAGACAGGAGACTTACCAGATTAGAAGCTGAGTACTCATTAAACATTTTTACAATTTTACTCTGTCCAGTCCAAACCGTCCTGCTCATGTCACCACAAAACAGTCTCACAGAATTTGGAAAAAAATAATTACTACAAAATTCACTATATGCTTACAAATCAATATCAATAAACTAATGCTATACAATATCTGCAGTGATTTGGTGAAATATTTGTGCTGTAACTAATATGGAGGTTAATAACATGATTTATACAGCGCCCTCCACAATTATTGGCACCCCAGGCAAAGATGCGTACTTAGGCTTATAATAAATAATTTTTTTTATTGGGGCAGCATAAACTCACAATGAAAGAATTAGAAAACTCTAAGCTTTAACTCAAGTAAATGAATTTAAAAAAAAATCTATTATTAAGAAATAATAAACAAAATTACCAGTGCCACAATATTTGGCACTCCTAACAATTCCTATTAAAACTGTCATTGAAGCTTTTTTGTAATTCATGCTTTACTTTTTTAAGTTGATGAGAGTGTCTAGGAACTTTTAATTAGTAACCCATGACTTCCTGTTTCCTTGGGGTATAAATATGACGTGACACAGGGGCCCATTTCTCTTATCCACTGATGAAAATGGGAAAGACAAGAGATCATGGCATTCAAGTAAGGCAGATATGTGATGATCTTTATAAGTCAGGAAATGGCTACAAGAAAATAGCTACTCGCCTAAACTTAGCCATATCTACAGTCAGAGCAGTAATTGAAAAGTTTAAACAACTGGAACTGTGAAAGACAAGGCTGGTCGAGGGCCCAAGTTTATCTTGCCACCACGCGGAGTGATTTAAGGAGCATGACTGAATGAAGTCAGTGACAAAGACAACACTACGCCTGAGCCCTCCAGGAAAATGACGCAGTGCAACACCAAAGAAACACTGGCCTGACTGACTCAAAGATGTTCAGGAAGCCAGAGTCAGCCATAAAGATGCCCTGGACAGGAATAAATGGCGACTGGCAAGTAAAAAAGTGAAGCTGGCACCCGCATGGGACAAGCGAGGAAGACGACCGAATGTGTTGAATCATATACAATTTACATGAAAATGAAAAAAAAAATTTATTTGCACACTTGTCATTTAAATACACAGAAATATACCTAGCATAACTAATTTTGTGGAAGGTAAAGCCTGACATAGAGTTTTATAGAAATGTGCTTTATGTCACAGAAAACTTTTTTCATTCTCTAAATAAGAGCTTTTTCACACTAAATATTGCCGGTGAGCAGAAAGTTAGATATATAGATACATAAAATCTATTGCTGGTAGCATACAAGCACAGTAATATTGCATTTTCTGTAAAAGATCAATTCTGACTTTTATGACTTTCATTTCATTTATAAAGATATGTTTTACTGATTTCCTACCAGTAATCATTCTCTTTGTCACACAAAGCTTTCATTTTTCTCACATTCTCTTCAAAAGCACTTTGTATTGGTTTTAAAGTTGTTTCAACACACTGGAGCTGACCCTTCTCTGACATTTGCAGAATACATTTAAAGGTTTCCTCTACTACTGTCATGAGGGGCTCAAACAAAATAACCTTTCTGGTCTGTATCTCGCCTACTTTAGCTATTCCAGCTAGATCGGTCAAAACCCTGACAGCGTTCCTGATCTTCTCTTGGACATCAGCTAAAACAAAGCGCTGCTTTGTGACGTCTTCTATGGTTCTTTCTAACACCTCCAAACTGGTGTTAACTTGTGAAATCTCCTGTGTCTTCTGGTTGATCTCTGTCTCACAGTCAGAAACACTCTGAGAAGTTCTTGCCACTTCACCTTCCCAGCTTTGCACTTCACTTTCAGCTTGAGTTTTAGCTTCTGTTGCGTTGTTCAGATCTGTCTGATAGACCCCAATCAAGGTGGCTCCTATGAAGTAATAAAACCAATTTAATAATTTATAAAAGGTATTATTGTTCCTTTTACATAAACAAATGAGAGTGAATTGAAAGGCAACCTGGGGGTAGTTTTATAAGGAGAAAGCAGCCGCCGTGGACTTAAATTTATCACTCACCAATTATAGTTCCAATAATTGGAATGAACATCAGACCGATCCCAGTGTTCCTCACAGCTACGTCGTGGTCCATTCTGCTTTGCATCTCCTCAACAGTTTCCTTTGTTTTTTCTAAGTGTTCGTTTGCATTTGCTAACAATCTCTGAATCTCTTGCAGCATGTTCTGCTGTCTTGCAAGCTGGTCTTGTAGGTTTTTGCATTCAGTTTTCTTGTCATTCTGTTGTCGTTGCAGTTTTCCTTTCTGTTGAGTTAATTCCTCAGACTCTTTATCTAAACTTGCTAAAATACCAGAAGCTCTTTGCTCTGCTTGCGCAAAGTTATCCTTCACATTACTAATTAAATGGCGAAGCTCATCGTATCCGTTGTTTATGTTGCCTTCATTAGTAAATACACTGGCTGAAAGATTATTAAAGCAAAGGATGCCCTCTTTGAGAAGTGGTATAATGCCCACAACAAACATCTCCTCTTTGTTGGAAAGGCTGAGTTCATGACCAGACATTTTTTTTGCTCTTTCTAAAACCTTTGCTTGTACTCGTTTTTGTGATCTCGAGCGTTGTGCGACTTTTCAGTGAGTTGGAGTGGGTGTGGCTTGAATCCCCATGACTTCAAAGGGGCGGGAAGGGCAATGACTCACGCCCACCTTGATGACGTTTATCATGTAACATAATGTATACAATGAGTTTCAGAAAGAGGTACAAGAAAAACTGTCTAATACAGAATTACTAATAATAAGTTTCTAATGCTCAAGGTTCTTAATCAGTGAATTCATCATACCTACAGACTTCATTGCTGAATTAATGTTATGCTCCCTGATTTAAACTTGAGAATGTCAATCAGAACACAGTTTTCTTGTAAATGCAGCGCTCCATGCTTTTATGGACAAAGTTTTTTTTTTACAGATGTTGTATAGCTTTAGACCCTTAACAATTATTAAAAATCAGTTGTATTACGATGTTATTATTGAATATGATGCCATGAGAAATACTGGTTTTACAGAACTTCATAAAAGCCACAAGAAAAGAAGTTATTCTGTATTTTTAAGAAACACTTCCAGTTTCTGTGATATTGTGCTGTATCCCACTGTCACGATGAATGTATGTTGTAAGTGACGTAAGGTTCTTTATTGATGCTGCTGTGCTGAGAGATGGATTCTAAAATGAACATAATCAGCTTTGTGTGTCTCTGTCTCCCTGTGCTGCATTTTATTTCTCATTCACCTATTTAGTTACAGAATGACAAGACATATGAAACATAACAAAAGCTTTTTAATATACAAGAAATGTACAAGATTAATGTCACAGTGGGCCTCCGTTTATAGTGGGGTACCGCAGGGTTCAATTTTAGGACCTCTGTTGTTTCTAATTTACATTAATGATATTGACACGAATACATACAGTAAACTGGTTAAATTTGCAGATGACACTAAGGTGGGCGGGGTAGCAGATACTAATCTAGCAG